ACCCCCTACAGAGTGACATCTTGTTAAATGGTTCACCCAGAGCACAGGTGCGCAGGGGCCCGGACCTACCGACGCTGGGTCAGCTGTCAGCACGGCGCAGGTGCAGGAAAAGATACGGTTTGACCAAGAAACAACTGGAGAGAAGGGGCAAAGTGAGGATCCTTCACATTAAAAGCAGATCCCAGTATCAAATGAACAAGACGAAAACAAAAGCACGAAAGAGAGAGACAAGGAGAAACGGGGTGTCAGGGGAGAGCCCCGCTGTAGGAAGCCATGAGGGCGCTGTTGCCGCATCCACGCAGCCCCTCTGGGCCAGGACGGCGCCGTCCAGGAGGATGTCAATGAAGCACGTGCAGACGTGAGCTCAGCCAGAGCCCCGGGCTCCCGACAGTCTCACTCAGCCCTGAACCAACGCCCTCCTAGCAGCTGAGGAAACTGGAGCCCGGATGAGACGGTGGTCGTGCAGTCACTCACCTGGCAGAGCTGGAATTTGAACTCAAGGGTTCTAAACCCAAGCTGAAGCCTTCCTCCACTCTGCTTCCTCACGTTCGGGTATGACAACATGTGACAAGGCGCAGATCATCCCATTAAGAAAAAGACACCTTTTGGGAGCCCTGCTGGCTTCATTCTCTTTATGCTGAATTTCCTGCTAAGCATGTTCATGGGCTGAACACTTCACATGCTAACTCTGACGGCTGGTTTGGCTGGGGAGGCTCATGCCTGTGAACGTGGACTGTCTGAGATGTTCCCGCCTTGGCCCGTGGGCCATGTGCTGGTTTCTACCCACGAGAGTTCAGGTTTTGGGAGCCCCATGTTAGTAACCCCAGACTGGCAACTCTCACAAAAAGATAATCCTTTTGCATTGACCGCAGTTACTTGGGTGAAGAATAAATGTGATGCCCCCTTCAAAGGCCTGAAACGCTTAACATCAGAAGGTAATTTATGTATACGAAGGCAGTGAAATGCAAGAACGCGCAGAACGGGGAATAATAAATGGGGTTTGGTCCCTGGTCTGTCATTAGTAGCCGGGGGACCTCAACCAGGCCCCTGAACTTCTTTGGGTCTTGGGTCATTCCTTTGCTCTGCCAGCCTCACATGGTTGCACGAAAAGAGAAAAATGTCTATGCCCAGCAGACAAAAGGCTTGCTAGTCTTCAAGGAACACGTACTGTATGTGTGAAAGTAGCCTCCACCCTTTCTTTTTTTAGGTTTGGGGAGGAGCAAGGGCAATGAAGCGAGGGGAGCCATCGTCACTTCTCTTTTGGGGTGTTGGTGGCTCCCGAACAAGCTCTCCCCAAGACCCACCCCAGTTCTAAACATGGCTCCCAGGACTGGAAGGGGACAGACGCACACTGGATATACTTGTTGGTTCCCCATGCCTGGGGGAAGACAAGCCACCCTAAGAACTGGGAGCTGGTGCCAGCCTGAGCTCCCACCCGGGCACGCCAGGCTGGTGGAAGGTCATCAGAGGAAGGGAAGTGTCATTCTCAGTGTGGTCTAAGCCATTCACTGAAGGCCTGGGGAAGTCAGGAGAGGCCAGTAGGTCTCCTGTAGCCACAGTGATGTTTCAGCTTCTCACGGAGGCTAGTCCGGCTGTTTCAGGAGAGTTCCTTGTCCTTGCAGGGTGGACTGGGGTCTTCCTAACAGGACCTCCAGCTCCTCTTTCAGAGGTGGCTCTCTCTGTCCCACCTGTTTTGCCCCTCACTCAGCCCACCCACCCCTCTTTCACACTGGTCTCGCCTCTGGCGCAGCAAGAAAGCTGGGCTCTCCTGCATGCCAAGTGCACCTTCCTCCAGACCACATTCGCGTCTTGTGTTCTGGAGCGGTGAGACACGGCCTCACTTCAGACCCAGGCTCACCAGTGGGGCCTGC